CTGAAAATGCCAATGTCAACCACCACTTAACAGTCCCAAAGCTTAGACAATACAACTGGTGGATCCACATGGTCATTTTCTCTCTCCTACTCCTCTCTGGCCAATCAGCTGCCACACTCTTGGGAAGACTCTACTTTGACAAAGGTGCAAAGAGCAAATGGATGGCAACCCTAGTCCAAACCGCAGGCTTTCCCATCCTTATCCCCTTTCTCTTCGTCTCACCGACCAAACATGGGATTGCACAAAGTAACCAAACAAAACCACCTTCTACCTTAATCCTTGTCTCTTTTTATACGTTTCTTGGTGTATTCTTAGCAGCATATAGTATGTTATACACAATTGGGCTCAAATACCTTCCAGTTTCTACTCATTCTCTCATTTGTGCAAGTCAATTGGGCTTCAATGCTCTTTTTTCCTACTTCCTTAATGCCCAAAAATTCACTCCTTTTATAATGAACTCTTTATTCCTCCTCACCATTTCCCCCACGCTCCTTGTTTTCTCAAATGATGATTCTGGAGACTCCAATAAAACATCAAAAGGGAAGTACGTGATCGGGTTTATGTGCACTATTGCTGCATCGGCTGGTTATGCATTGAACCTCTCTACAACCCAACTTGCATTTCGAAAAATTCTTAAGGAAACTTTTAGAGTGGTCATGAATGTAATAATCTACCAATCTCTCGTAGCGATGTGTGTGATCTTAGTGGGGCTTTTCACTAGTGGGGAATGGAGAAATTTGAGAAGAGAGATGAAGGAATATGAACTTGGTAACGTATCGTACGTAATGAACTTGGTATGGACTGCTGTGACATGGCAAGTGTTTAGCATTGGGGCAATTGGGCTGATTTTTAAGGTCTCTTCACTGTTCTCCAATGTCATAAGTACCTTGGGTTTGCCCATTGTTCCGGTTCTTGCCGTAATCATTTTCCAAGACAAGATGACTGGAGTGAAGGTGGTTGCAATTTTGTTGGCCATTTGGGGTTTTGCATCTTATATCTATCAGCATTATCTCGATGATTTGGAATCGAAACCTAAAAGCAGAATCGTTAATGATGTTTCTGTTGTTGAAAGAGCTTAGGTAGCATTTGAGAACTCTGTTTACATTTATCTTTAATTGTTTGCATATTTGACAAATTTGTTAAATTGCGATAGTTTTGAAAATTATTTTTTTTGTTTATGTTCGACTTTTTCTTATTTTGAGAAGCATAATTGCATGTATAATAATATACTCATGCACATATGAATGTATTGGTAAAATACTTTATTAGTCCCCTAAATATTATTCATTTTCATTTCCATTCTTTTAGTTTTGTTATTAGTTCATCAATTTTTAGTTTGTGGTGACTGAAGTGTTCACGAGCATCTCCATGAGCACACTTTTTTTTTTTTTTTACATGAGCACACTTGATGGTCACTTTGTGTTGTGAACGTGCAACATGGTAAACATTTAAGAAAGAGATCTTCAAGAACACAAAATTTACATAGTTGATAGAAATTCTAACTATGTTCACAAAAATGAGTTTTCCTTGATTATCATCAGAATCCAAAGTACATCATATTTATAGACGCTAGTTAATAACCCCAACCATAGTCCAAATACGAAATATAGTCCTAGTAATCAATTCCTTGAAAACTTTTTGGATTACTCCTAGTACAACTCCTACACCTGATATACATTGGAAACCTCTAATGTACCCGTTCCTTGCAGTGGGGTATTCTTTGCTTCCCCTAACCTATTATTCGACCCCGACAACCAAAAAGTAGTACAACTGAACTATCCCATTAACTTTTGGGTGTAATGAATATGAGTCACTTATTATTTCTAACAATCTTCACCTTGGTGAATAATTCACCACTCTGAAAAAGTACTTTAACTTGTTTCCATCGCAAACCCATAGGTTGGGGATGTCATTTTTCTCACATTGAGAAATATTAACCAATTCCAAGAAAAATGCTTGAACCTATCAAAAAGAATTGGCTTTGTCAACTTGTCAGGTGCATTCTCCGAAATATGAACCTTTTCTAGTATTATCTCCTTAGAGATAATTAATTCTCTCACCTTGTGAAACTTCACATCTATATACTTTGTCTTGGCAAGATACACTTGACATTTTGCCAAATAAATGGTGCTCTGACTATCACAATGCATATGAATTCCACCTTGCTTTAAACCAAGCTCTCTAACCAACCATCTTAACAACAACGCTTCATTGGCAGCCTCAGTCATTGATATGTATTTGGCTTCAGTTGTAAATAGAGCGATTAGTTTATTGTCACATGGATATCCAACAAATAGTCCCTCTTGCAATTGTAAACACATGACGTGACAAAGTGTAGGGATGGGAAGAAGAAGTCGGAAGCAAAGTCATTCCTAAAGTGGGTAAACCAACTGTGGATGCTTCTAAATCTCGTTTATGTGGGTGGAAACACTCATCAATCTGTTAATATTTGGATTTTAACCTCATCTATGATTAATGCAGTCATTGTACATGTTTCTTTCCAACAAGTTATGATTGGCCTAATGGTTTCTTTTATGCGAGTACAACATATTTTCAACATCGAATCCTATGTTTAAAACTTGCTAATATTAGAGCTATGGATGGCTATGAGTGATTTCAATACGGTGATGAGAGCGCATGAAAAGCGTGGTGGTATTTTACCCAAGTCTATCTCTTGCAATGAATTCCTTTCTACGATTAGTTCTTGTGAGTTGATAGATATTGCCATTCGTGGGGCTCCGTATACTTGTTCGAATGGAAGAGGTGTCCATTCTCATATCGACATGCACTTGGACAGGAGTATGTCATAAATCAATTGGCTTGGTTCTCGGCCAAATTCTTCTTGTTCTCTATTTTTTAGGACATCATTGGATCAACACCCTTTGTTATTTTACTTTAGCAAAATGGAAAGGATGTGACCTTCACCTTTCCGTTTCCAAAGAATGTGGAAATTTCATGATACTTTTCTAATCGTTGTGAAGGAGTCTTGGGTCTTAGAGGGTATCTATGACTGCCCTATGTTCATAGTTATTCAGAAAGTTAAACGGTTAAAGCAATGTTTGAGGATTTGAAATAAAGAGATTTTTGGAAATGTTCATGTGAAGGTGGAATCGGCTGTCTCCTTAATCAAGGAAATTCAATTCCGAATGGTCATTGAGGGCTTCTCGGAAGATTTATTTCCAATGAAACTAAATTGTAACGAACCGCTCCAATTGTTAAGATATTGTTTGTTTTAGTGTCCATACACCATTACGGTCTTGTTCCCCTAAGATTTTGCCCCAGAAAAAGGCCTTTTGACAATTAAGGGTATGCACACCACATATATAACCTAGTCATTCCCCCTGCCAAGTTGATGTAAGTTGCAAGACATAAAGCTATAACATCTCCTCACCTTAGAAGGACTTTTGGTAGGCTACTACACTAATTGTCAAGAGGCCTTTAGTGTGCTCACCCTTAATTGTCAAGAGACTTTTTTTTTTGGGGGGGGGGGGGGGGGGGGGGAAAGCCTTAGAAAAACAAAACCGTGAGGGTGGATGAGTACCAAATCAGACAATATCTTAATAATTAGAGTAGGTCGTTACGGGTGATTTCAGAGCCGACTCTCGTACTATTAGTGTGTGTGTGTGTTGGGGGGGGGGAGGGGTAGACCCCACGTGGGCCTCACAAGGACGCGTGGTTTCTAAGGGGGTGGAGTGTAGTAGCATGCCAGACGACCTTATGACTTGAGGAGGTGCTATAGCTTTATGTGTTGCATCCCACATCGACTTGGGGGGGGGGGGGGGGGCGAGAGTGACTGGGCTATATATGTGGTGTGATTACCCTTAATTGTCTGTAGGGCATTTCTGCGGAAAAACCCTAGAAAGAGAAAATCGTGAGGGTGTATGGGCACTAAAGCAGATAATATCTTGACAGGTTGGACAAATTATTACATAAATTGATCCCATTTTTTTTCGTCCAAAATATATCAACTTCTTGACACGACCCCCAATGATGGACAACAGAATCAACATACTTCCTACTGTCAAACAATCCCATCAATCCGCATCTATCTCTCTCTCCATTTTAATTTTAAATTGTGCAATAAAAAATACTAAATTATTATTTAAATTACAAATATTGCAAGATCAACTTAATTTTTGATATTGTGTGGTGTTTTTAGGTACGGACTACTGCTAGTTCATATATACATGATATCTTATATCATTTTCAAGTTATTTTAATTTATAGAAGTTGAATTTAAAGTGATGATAAGTATATTTGCCCACATGATAAGTTGATTAGACACTTTTCTACATAGTAGGTTAACAGAACGTGTGCTCAACATGAAATAAGCGGATTTTGATTTGCTAATTTCCAAAAAAGGAAAATGATATGACCCACAAACCCAAATAATAAATGAATTAACCATTAGCAGTGTCAAACATGAATAATTCACCTTTGTAAGACAACAAATTTACCTTGTATAGTGTGAAGAACATTTTTTATGTTTTCTATTTTTTTTTCATTTCTTGATCAGGTATTCTACAAATTTCTATTGAATTGGTGGATTCTTACTTAGTTTTTTAAACATCTAGAGCATGTAGATTTTAATTTATGTGGTAATAGAGAAAAGGTCCTTATAAATTACGGATGGTACACATGTTATGTTTGTTGACGTGAACAAGACATGTACATAGACTAGTCGAATTATGGTCAACTACCAGGCCATATTGTAACAAAAATAACACAGTCGAACATCCAACAATTGTCAACCCTAGCTCAAGGCTAATTAAATCTCTTATAGTGAAGAAAACAAGAATCAATGTGGACCCAAGTGGTTGTCAAGAGAAGTTAAAACACATACATGGACTCCATACATCATCTTCATCCTTTGCTGCATAGATATGGCATTACACTACTATAAATTTCATAAAGGGAGAGATAGTCCTTGTATTTCAGACCTTATTTTATGGTCTCATATTTCCAAAAATAAAAAATTCCATTGCTTTTTAAGGCTAAAAATGAGGTGTATTAGTAGTTAAATTGTTGAAAAAATATACATCGTTAGATATGAGTGACCACTGAAGCACCAATGGTTGGTTTTGGACCAAACCTTATATTTAGAGGAAAACAAATTCCTATCAAGGTTTTCACTGATAAACTTTGAGAAAAGATCATTAACAATGTCTACAAAAAGTCCTATGGCATGATCCATGGCATCCTCAAGGCCCACTCTATGATCAGGTGGGGGACGATATGCTTTGGGGCTTGAGTTTTGATACTATACTGATGATAGAGTGAGTGGAATTATTAGCGATGGTTCCTAGAGTTGGCCTAGGACAGCAATCCAAATCCTTGCTGACATGTAACTAAATCCAGAAAGAGAGGACTGTATTGAATGGTTTCTAAATATATCAGGTTTTAGCATTTAATCAGCATGGGAGACAATTAGACCTAACGGGAGTATCAAAGTTGGACCAGCATTGTTTGGTAAATGCAGTTCCCAGATTTAGTTTTGTCTTATGGTTTTCAATACAACAGATGCTTGCTACCCATGATAAAATTATAAGCCATGGGGTGGTCCATAGTGGTCAGTGTCTTTTCTGTAGAGGAGAAAGTGAAACCCATAATCACCTTTTTTTCAACTGCCCTTACACTGATAGGCTATGGCTATCCTTGCAAGTGAAGTGTGTTGTTCAATGACCTAATATGAATTGATAGAGTTTCATTCCTTGGTTTTTTGCCACATCAATGGGAAGGGTTTGAGCAAGCTAATCAAAAACCTTACTTTATCTACTTCATTTTACTTAATCTGGAGAGAGAAGAATTATAGAGTTTTTAAGAACAACTTCAAGGATGTTAATTCCTTAATAAACAAGGTAATTGAGAATAGAAGATATAACTCCATCTAATCAAAGGTGTCAACAAAAATATGCCAAATCTCTAGCTTCAAAAGCAATGGGGATTGCCATAAACAATTTTTGAGCCTCCTTGAGAGCATGTAGTGTGCGGAATGATTTTTGCACAATAAATGAGATGACAGATCTCTCTCTTGATGAGCTTGTGTCTATTTGGAATGTCTTCTAAACAGAACCCCTCTTGTGCTTCCCATAATAAACGGCTATGGAGACTTCTCACTTGAGAGAGAATAGTTAGAAGGGCACCTGGTGTGACCCATTCGATGCTCAAGTCAGTATTCGAGAGAGGGTGGGATGCATACCTTTCCTTTGAGCTTGAGTGTGCTATTTATTCCTTCTAGGAATTGACTGAGGCAGACAGTTGGGTCTCCTTGGAGGGAAAGTTTCTGGTTGGTTCATACAGGGGACAACAAATGGTATGCAGACCTTGATCAAAGTGTTTACTTTTATCTACACCAGATGATTCCGCAGGTTTGCACTCAGGACCCCGAGAACTTAATGTATCCATCTCGGCTCCTCTAAGCATGGAAAGTTTCTCTTGCTTTTGTCAAATTATTTAATGTTCCCAAGGCATGGACATACATGCGCATGGGCATTTTAGCCAATCTCCCATTCGAGGGTCATGAATTAATTGTTCCATGCACTGTACATCTCTATCATTGGTCATTGAATTGCTTTTCTGATCATTCTTATTGCCTTGGAGGGTCAATAACTGAGAGTCAACCTTGCCCCCAAGCTGTAATGTTTAGAAACTACTTTATCTTGATCAAAAGACATGTTTGCCTTAGTCAATTATCTCTACCTTTGAAGTCAAAGTTTATTGTCTTGCAATGTGGTCGGTGCTGAGGTGAATCATCACTGGATGCCGAAGGTATCTCCAACGAGGAGGGGCTTCTCCACTGAGATGAGTTACCCGAGGATGCCGAAGTGTCATAGACATCGTCAAAGTACACATGACTCCCATACCGAGGAAGAACCCACGCGCCGAGAACTTGACTTGTGTCGCGTGTTGCTCTGTCACTATTTGCCAAAGTGTCCCATCAATTACCGCTAACCCTTGATCTTCATACGAATCGGGTGACGTGTTAGGTGGAGATGGAAAGACTTGTGTCATTTTGTTTTTCACAAGAGGCGTGTAGCCATTTTCCCACCTTTAGGGATCGTATCATATTTACTTGTGCTCATCTTGGAATGTGGGTAATGATAGCATCTTTGATGTATATGAGTGTTCCACCCCCTCATTCTCTTCGTTATCTTCTCTGTGAAACCTTTCTGAAAAGTTCACTAAAAATCTACTCAAAGACCACCGCCTTCCATTAGAAGTTCATTAGACCCCTCGAGTTTGACAAAGAAACTAGAACACCCACATATATTAGACCCCTCTGGTTGGGTCTGGAGTGGAACCAGGGGTTCGGGTCCAAGAATTATGGGTGGTGGGTACGACTGGTTTGGTAGCACCAGGTTGTGTTGGGTTTCGGCCGGGTTGCTTTTTAGATTGAGGAGGTTGGCAAATGGTATTAGTTGTGGGAAATGGGCCGGGTTTTGATGATGGGTTGGGCATATTGAGAGATGGGTTGGGCAGATTGAGAGATGGGCTGGGTTTGCTTATCTTGAGAATTATGGGGTTGACATGTGGCATAACTTATGGGTGGTAAATCATGCAAAGGATGCCCATTTTTATGGCCAAAAGTCAAACAATCCTCATTATCATGCATATCCTCACGTGTAGCAACAAAATATCTTGCAATATTTGTTTGTGCACGTGGTTATACATAATGTCTAGGTTCGGCAACATTCAAATTAGGAGATAAATTAGCTGGCCGCATATCAAGTGATTGAGCTAAAGTCAAGGGACTAACCAAAACCTCCTTGCCTTTGTGCCTGTGGCTCTCTATGCATGCACTAGTGGGGGCAACCAATGCTACATCGGAGATGGCTGCGGAGTCAACGTGATGTAGGTCGCTGGCAGTGGGGTGGTGGATGACTCCGCCGGTATAGGTGTGTGCATTTGGAGGAGTGTCCGAGGGTAGGTTTAAGCCAGGGGTTGGGTCATCGCTGACGGTCGGATTGGCTATGGGATTGGTTGATGAGGGTAGTATGTCGGTGATGTTATGTGCAGTCGGTGGCTGAACATGTGTTTTTTATTGGAGTCGGTGGCTGGTAAGTTAAAGTAATATCAATTTTTGAATGAGAAATAAATTCATAAATTCTTTAACTTACTAAGCGATGCGGTATCTGTGGTTGAACATGTGTATTTTAGTGGAGTCAGTGGTTGACAGTTGATACCCGATGCGATGCACAAAGTTATAAAATATTATTGCACTTGTATATTTTTCCTGCATTCAGACAATTCATACATCAAAAACATCTCTTGACTCTTATCTGAACAACTTAATTCCAATAATTAACCACTAGAGGAGATAAAGGCCTATATCTAAGTGGTAGTCATCCCCCTCTCAATGCACTTGAATGTATAATTTTCCATCACTCCTGTGTGCATTAGAGATTGGGGTAGAGCACTACATTCTTCTATTGAAAAGCTACACAGAATTGAATTGGGAACAATGGGTTGCTATTGTTATTAAGTTTTGATCATCAGAATCACTATTTACATATTAGTCGATTACCTTATTTAATTATATGATGATTATTGGATTTGATTATATAGAATACACTAAATTTGTATATTAGGGCATAATAAACCCAACGGAGGTCCACCAAGTTCATCCCTCCCTAACACTCCACCCTTCATTCCCACACTTAACCACCATTCCAACCCTCTAACATCCACCTTGAGCTCTCACTAGTTATTACACCTTATTAATCACAATCTAGAATTTATTGAATAGTGAAAGAAAGAATAGAGTGAGAACATAAGTAACTTGTGATCAATATCATTATTTGGACGTTGAGAATGCATAATAATTGTAGTATGGCCAACTCCAGAATGACAATATCAAATAGATTGCTAGATCCCAACCTAATATTAAAAAGTGGTATCTACATAGAAACATTGAAAATAAGGTACAAGAACTAACATTCTACAAAATTAATGGAAGAATAAAATTAGACTGTTACCAAAAATAACTTTTGATTGTTAAAAAGTATGGACCTAGTCCATATGACATCAACACCATCATGACCAAATTCTGCATCAATTACACACAAATCATCCATAGCTCTTTCATATTGCCATCAATGAATAGATCCATCTTACTTTCATGTTACAAAAAAACATGGCTCCATTATGGTCTTTCAATCCCATATCTTTTGCATATTATCATTGTAAAATGGGAAAAGGGATACGTTTGAGGAGGAGGGGTAAAAGTTCGAAAGAGAGACTTGAATGAGTGGAGATCTGTTGTTTGATAAGATATGGAGTGGAGAGTTAAAAATTGAGAAACGTGGGTAGTTTAAAAATTGCGGTTATTTGTCAGTTCAAAACAGAGTTATTCTTATCTAAAAGGGAAAATTAAATGATCATGCAAAACTAAAAGAACTAATAAAAAGTTGCCAAGTAATGTTTTTCTAAAACTTTGGAATTAAAAATTCAGAAAATTAGAGAATCAGATTTGGAGTTTAATTGTAGATACATTGCTATAGAATATAAAGATCTCTTATCTCTCATCTGAACAACTTAATACCAATAATTAACCTCCAGAGGCCCACCAAGTTCATCGTTCCTAACACTCCACCGATCATTACAACAATTTTGGAGGCACCAACCTCCAACAACCACCCTTTAAACACTTTATCCATGAAACCCCAACCCCCCTCCTCCACCCCCCCCCCCCAAAAAAAAAAAAAAAAAAAAACACCATGCCAACCCTCTAACTTCCACCTCTCATTTGTTGTAACACCTTATTAATTATAATCTAAAATTTATTGAAGTGTGAAAGGAAGAATATGTCAGAACAGAAGCAACTTTGGAAGTGTCTCACCATCTACAAAAACTCTTTCAATAACTCAAGCATCAAGCTTAGTGATTTTTTACTCCAATGATTGATTGCCTTAAGATGAAGAAGCTTCACAAGAAAAGACAATGTTGAAAACTTCTTGCATCCTGGATAAAGTTTCAATTGTGCTTTCGTCAATAATCTATCAACTTTTTCGGCTTCCCCTTCAATTACATTGTCAACACCATGGTTGTCAAATGTCTGACCTGAACAATTATCCATAAAAGTTCCCCTGTGTACATCTTCAAGAATTTATTGTATTTCATCAACATCTTCTTCCATCTCTATAGTTCTATCATCATTAGCACCATCGTCATTATTGTTATCATCATCATCAACACCCACATACATGCTACAATCAAATGCTTCCCCATGATGTACCCAACAGGTGTAACTTTGTAATATCTCATTTTCAAATAGTTAATCTTCAACCTTTTTTACACCTTTAAAATACACGTGCATGCATTTACTACACGGACATCGAATATTATTAGCATGACCCATATGATCACGTGTATACTCAATAAACAATTTAACTCCATTTTTGTATGCATAAGAAAATCTATAATTTTGCTCCATCCACATACTCAAATCCCTATAGCATAGTATCAAACAAGACAAAAATGAATTAATTTACCAACAAAAAATGAATTATCTTTATATTAGATATAAATATATACTGTAAAGGTAAATTCGTTGAGTGATAATATATATCCAACCTCCTTCACTCAATGCTAATCTAAGTAAAATTTGTTTACAGGATATTTTTATATAAAAGAAAATTACTAAAGTCCAGTAAATTGAAATAACTTAAACCAAAATGTAATCTATAATAGCTAATTCCTAATATATGAAACCAATTAGTTAGAAAAAAAATTATTCCAAACAATTTGAAAAAAATTCATTTCATCACAAAGTAGACAAACTTAATTTTCAAGTAATCAATCAAAACAATTTTAATACATCACAAGCAAATTTTAAAATTTAAAAATAAAAAATTAGTCAAATGAAATTCATAGTAACCATAACAAATTTAAAAAAAAATTGAGATCTTTCATATAAAATAGGGCTTCGATTTGAAGGAAAACCAATTTATAACTTATAATCAATCGGTGTTACAACTGATTATAAGTTATATGAAACCACCATGCCAACCCTCTAACCTCCACCTCTCACCAGGTGTTACAACTTATTAATTATAATCTAGAATTTATTGAGGCGGGAAAGAGAGAAAAGAGTCTAGAATCTAGAATCAGTATCACTATTTGGACATTAGGAATTCTTAATAATTGTAGTATCACCAAATCTAGAATCAAAATAGCAAAAAGATTGCTAGATGCCAACCTAATATCAAAAAGGGGTATCCACATCGAAACACTGAGAATAAGGAATAAAAATTGACATTCTATTAAATTAATGGAAGGGCAAAGTTAGACTATTACATAAAATAACATCTGATTGGTAAAAAGTATGGACATAGTCCAGATGACATCAACTCCATCATGACCAAGTTCTACACCAAACACACACACACACACACACACACACACACACAGAATCCATAGGACCATAATTTTGCCGTCAACAGACAGATCCATCTTTCTCTCATATTAGAAAAAAATATGGCTCCATTATGGCCATTCACTCTCCTATCTGTAGCATCTCATCATTGGTAAATGGGAAGAGGGGTACATTTGAGCTAGAGAGGTGAAGATGGAAAAGAGAGACGTGAATGAGTGGAAAATTATTTTTAATAAGATATAGATTGGAGAGTTAAAAGTTGAGAAATGTTGGCAATTTAAAATTACAGTTATCTATGAGTTCAAAATAGTTATTCTTATCTAAAGGGGGTAATTAAATGATCAAGCAAAAACTAAAAGGACCAATGAAAAGGTGCCTAGTAAGCTTTTCTAAAACTTTGAAGTTAAAAATTCAGAAAATTAGAGAATCGGGTTTGGAGAGACCTCTCCATATTCGTAGATACATTGATGTAGAATATAACGATCTCTTATCTCTCATTTGAACAACTTAATACCAATAATTAACCACCAGAGATCCACCAAGTTCATCCCTCCCTAACACTCCATCCTTCATTCCC